CGGAAGTGGTACTGTGGCTCAAGTGGTAGAGTGCTAGCCTTGAGCTGAAGAGCTGAGGGACAGTGCCCAGGCCCAGAGTTCAGGCCCCATGACTGGACCCCCCCAAAAAAACAAACAAACAAACAAAAAAAGATGGAAATGGACCTATGGCTCAGATTGGTAGAGTACTACTAACCTTGAGCAAAAACAAGCTTAGGGATAGAGCCTAAGCTCTAGGACAGACATGGAAAAGAAAGAAGAGGAAGAAGAGGAAAAGGACAAGGAAGAAGAGGAAGAGGAGGAAGAGAAAGAAGAATTGTGTATTCCAATAGAAGTCCTTAAATGGCTACAAATAATATATACCAGTAAGACACACAAATGTAGACTACCAATCTATATAGTTAACCATACTAAGCAGGTGGTTATGGACCTGCTAGTTTAGACTTCAGATATAAAAGCAATTTAGAAATGCAAAGTTGCAAGCTAGGCATCTGTGGTTCACATGTATAATCCTAGCTACTCAGGAGGATCAGTTTGAAGCCAGCCTGTGTAGGAAAGGCTAACTTGTGGCCTAGGTGCTGTCCCTGACCATTTTCTTTTCTTTTTCCTTTTTAATTGTAAAGGTGATATACAGAGGGGTTATAGTTATATAAATCAGGTAATGAGCACATTTCTTTTTGAACACTGACACCCCCTCCCTCATTTTCTCCCAGTCTTTTCCCTCTTGACCTCCCTTCCCTCCAAGTTGTATAGTTCATTTCTAACATAGTGTCTAGTGAATATCACTGCTGAAGTGGTTCAACTTTTGTCCCAGTGTTTCTGTGCTTCCGTTTCCCTTCCTCAAATCAGATAAACTTACATACAAGACAAAAGGTACAGAAATTGAAAACAGCGACAAAAGGGGGAAAAAAAAACAGAAAATAAAAAGAACCACAAAAGTAAAATAGAATGCCTCGATTCCACTTCTTAAAAGTTGTTTAGATAAGCATCACTTTGTATGATATATGCATATAGCTATTGAGCCCTTGTGATCTCCTAAAATTACCTTCTTTGATCTCACTGTATGAGTTTAGAGTCCTGTTTAATTTATCATGTTCCCTGGACTTCTTCACGGAAGCCAGAAACCCAAACCCACAAAAAGGAGGATGTGAGCAGAGGGCTTCACAGAAGGGTCGCTCTATCCAAATCTCGCCCCTGCAGGAAAGCAGCCATCAGCACCCTCAAGAGACTGCCAAGCTCGGGCACTAACATACCGTTTTCAGTCACAGCCAGCGTCTGAGCGTCGCCACTCCCGCATGCAACGTCGATAACCTTCAGTCCTTTAAGCCCAGCTACCAGCATTGGAATGGCTTCATCTTCACTGGAGCCTTCAAACAGACAGAACCATTGTTATTCTAGTCCTTTGGGTAGAAGCAACTCCTACTGAATGCTTTTTGCTAGTATGCTGCAGACATACCATGGCCCAAACGGCCGTAATTGCCCCGGCCCCAGGTGTACAGTTCTCCTTCTGCAGTGATGGCCGCACTGTACGTGCTCCCGCATGCTATGTGTACCACGTGCTTCCCAGCTTGCTTCCCTGAGAAAGCAGAGATTACCTTAGGTTCCTCCAGAGGCCTGTGGGATGGAGGAACACATATGAATATCCCCCTAGGAATTTTTTTTTAGGTCAATGTTAAGGATAAATCACAACATCAAAAGAGCTTTGCCTATTAGGTATCTCAAACACCTAGTATTATTGATACTTTGTTAAACTGAAACACAACACCAAGCAAGAATTTCAAAACAGGATCTATTAAAGACCTGTATAATGACGTGCACCGTTATTCACAACAACTCCAAACAATGGTCCACCAGCAACAAAGAAACTATTGCTATGCCCAATGACCTAGCTGGATCTCAAATATGATGTTAAGTAAAAGAACCTGTAAACCAAATCCTATAGCACATTTATTAAATTCTAAAAGAGACAAAATAAAATTGACAGAGAGATGATATGCAAAGGGGGTTTGATTCAACAAGTCAGATGGTAATTACAATGCACCTTTGATGCATTTGATCTCTAGCACAATATAAAAAAAACTTTGGTTTTCATATCTGTGACAATATGATAGTTCAAGAGGTCAACCAGTAAGTTGGTGGGAAACCTAGTATCTGTGAATGAAATATCTGTGAAGGAAGGGACGGTATGTGGGATATGCTTTAGGAAACCTAATGGAGAATATAACTGCTGGCTGTTACTGAAGCTCCTAAAAAGTCATCAGGGGTGGATAGATCATACATACATACACACACACACACACACACACACACGGTACCCCTCTACAACCAAGCCATGCAAACACCCAGACCCATCCTGTTACAAGTACTGTCACACAGAGGAAAGCAAGGAATAAGCTGTACATACACAGTGTCCCCATGGCCCAGCCGTCCTCCGTCCCCACAGCCCCAGGAGTACACCTCTCCAGTGGCAGCCAAGGCCAGGTAGTGGTGACCATCAGAATGGGCAGCAATTTTTATAATGTTCCTGGAGGCAAGACCCTGGACCAGTTGGGGGGCCTAAAAGAGTAAAATAGGAAGAAAATTAGTCATAAGTCTAAGGATAATGAAAACAGCACAACTATCTCCACTCCCCACCTTCCCCTCACCAATGCCATATGTCTACCTGGGAAAACCTATTTAACTGAAAGACTAGGGGTGTCTGGAACTCCCAGGCCAATTACCCAGCTCACCCAGCCCAGAACAATAGTAATAACCACCATGAGAGCCATGGTATGACCAGTGCTGATGGTGGACAAAGCAGGATGCCCTGTATATTGCAGACACACTAGAAGGAAGTAATGTCTTCTCATAGAAACACACGTGACCTAAGGTGTTATCATCCCCAACAGGCTCAACTCCTTCTGGTACTTGTCTGACCCCTAAATCAAATGATTTTGGGAATGCTGGTTTGCAAAAAAGAAATCAGTTAATAATAATTCTCACTATAAGAAGATCCTGTTCTTAAAGCTTGACATACAGTTGCAGTGAAATGTTCACATGATTGGTATACTATGAATAGATGCTTATCTATGACTGATAAGACTTAGACCAATTGGCATCTGCAAGCAGGACCCCTCATCCACCGAGAGAAGCATGCCAGCACATCTCTTATGCCACCCACCAGTGTGTCACTATTGTAGGCCTGTGTGTACACACGGCCATTGCGAGACAGGATCAGGAAGCGCTTCTCTGCACAAGCAATCTGCATGACTCCAAGGTTGGCAAGGCCTTCACACTGGATTGCTCCAATCACATTGGCATAGTACTTCCATCCTATTAATCCCCAACCTATTACCTCCTGCAATGATCCCTGTAAGATAAAAAAGCAAGCATTGTTTTTACAGCAGGAGAATGTCTAGGAGTAACACTGAGGTTAAAACAAAGAAAGGAAAGGAAAGAACAGAAGTGATGCAAAATTGAAGCTGGATACAATGGCTCAATCCTATAATCGGGAGGTTAAAATTGAGAGGACTGTGGTTTGAGGCCAGTCCAGGCATAAAGTTGACAAGACTCCACTGCAACTAATAAAAAGTTGAGTGTGGCAGTATACATCTATCATACCAGTTATGCAGGAAGTATAAACAGGAATCTCAAAGGCCAGCCTGGTCTGGCAAAACAATCAGTATCTTATTCTAAAAGTAACACAAGCAAAAAGGGCTGGTTGATTGTTTGAACTGGGTGGCTATATTCTTTTAAATATAGCTACTTAATAAAAATAATGTTCACATCAAAAATAAAAATGTAGAGAAACTTGGACTGAAAACCAAGATTCTTCTGTATGACCCTGACAAACTTCACTAGCATTCCATATGTTAGTTTTCTCACAGATGCAATGGGAGAAATGTGATAGCAGACATGACCATGGGTAAGGTCTTTGGTGGACAGGCACTCTCCAGGGTCTCTCTGTACAGGCAGGTTACAGCACCATTATTATTAGCAGAGAAACTATAACTATACTGTCATTACTACTAGAGCCAGCATTACATAAACCCATGTTTAGAGTCTACAAAAAAGGCTCTGGGCAGAGGATGTAGTTTAGTGGTATCATGTGTTAAGCATACAAAGGCCCTGGGTTTCTTTCCAGAATCAAAAGTGGGTAGGGAGGAAGAAGCTATAGAACCTTCCTGCAGAAAGTGGAAAGGTCTGTGGTCATGTGGAGAAAGATGGCTTTTTGGGGACCCCGGTCTGGATTCCTAAACTCTAAACATCTCAAAAGCTTGTTTATCATTCATTCTGATCAATCATAATACCTTAATCAGTAAACATATATAAAACTATAAGCCAACAAACTAGAGGTATGGCACAGTGGTAGAGCACCTGCCTGCCAAGCAAAAAGCCTTAAGTTCAAACCTTAGTATCACAGCAACCAAAAAAACCTATAAGCCAGCTTCTATGACTGATAGCAAAAAAAGTAAGTTTGAAACATGCATAGAATTACAATGTGGGAGTAGAGTATTACTGACTATAGAACATAAAAAGAATACTGCTCTGGGGGTGCTGAAAATACAGCATAGTTTGTGTCCAAAATCCTCATTGCCCTGAGCTTGATCTCCAGGGAAAGGAAGGCAAGAGGGAGAGGAGGAATGGAGGGAAGGGAAAGAAAGGAAGACAAATACTGCTCTAACACATACCTTATGAGATGTTGGAGAACTACAGAGAGGAGGCATACAGGGTGTAGCCAGGCGGTCTAAATGGGCCATAACAACAACAGCTGTTTGTCGTAAATCAATGGCGAGCTCACTGTCTTGTGGAAGAGTAAGATACCTCAGGAAACTTTCATTGGGGCTCAGAGGGCCAGATAAAAGCTAGAGAAAAGAGGTAAAGAAGCATAGTCAGAAATGGTAGTAAAAAAGAAAATTAACACAATTAGCCTATATACATATTGGCCGTGTGTATGTGTGTGTGTGTGTGTGTGTGTGTGTGTGTGTGTGTGTGTACTTCAATTATGCATTAAATCTCATTTTAGCCATTAATCAAACAATACTGATATAGCTATACCTTTATGTGCTTTCTGTATAAATGTGCACAATACTAAGAGTAAATCTAAATATTTGTTGCCCCGTAAGTTGAACCCTATGCTATAGAAGCAACATGGATGCTAATATGTCCAAACCATCCTAGGGATATACTGTGACAAGGATCCATGCAGGAACACAGCACAGCACCTCAACCTGGCTTCCAAAACTAAAAAACAGACAGCCCTAATTTTAATCCGAGTCTTTAAACTGAATACTTCCCACTCTGGAGAAAATCTAATTTTCATTTGCAAATTAATCCATAGTTCTACTTCTTCCAAAGGGCAGAAGCAACTTATTATTATTATTTAAGAGTGCTAACTAACAGATGAGTAAGAACAAAGCATGGTAAGTAGCTCTTTCCAGGAAAGAGCCAGCCTGTAACTTCCCTCACCTCAGATCCTTCACAGGTAAAGTCTGTGACTCAGGAGACATGCCTCACAAAGTGCCTAGCCCACAGGATGGACAAACAGAATGAGCTACTAATTACATTTTGCCAGACTTTGTTTGGGGCTGATGATAAAGTAAGGACTTGCTGATCCAAGTGTTTTCTATCGGCAGCAAAAAGGAAGACACTAAGAATGGAGACCCACAGAGTGAGAACTAACGTGGACAATGAGATCACTGCAGACACAGAGGCTTTCATAAAGTAGACAAAGGAAGATTTCCTGTCAGACCATCTCCTTCGAATAGGCTGCACTGCTCCTTTGCATAGGGGCCTCAGCTTCAGCCCTTACTATGCTTGCCTACCTCCATCACCATGACCTACTTCTCATGCTTTGCTCTTGACATAGTGTCAGCATTTTACCACGCTTCAGTCCCCTAAGTAACTGTTTCATGGAATGAGTCTTCCTTACATCTACCACTCCATCTGCTATGGTCAGAGTGGATATGGTATGAACATCTCCTAAAGGTTCATGTGTTAAGTGTAGTCCCTGCTGTGACGTATTAAGGAGGTGGGAATGTAATCAGACTATGATGTTAAATTACAGAGATTAGGATAGAGCCCTCGGTCATCAGGTTAGAACCCTTTGGTGTAATAATGAGAGAGACCACACAGACACCAACATACACAACCTCTCTCTTGTGATAAGGTGCCCTGTATCATCTTGGGACTCTATCGCCAGTAGAGCCCTAATTTTTTTGTGCTCCAGAAATATAGGCCAAACTAAAACTCTGTTCTTTATAAATTAGCCTGCCTCCCTAGCATTTTGTTAGAGAAATGCAAAACAGATTAACACAGCATCTAAAATTCACTCTTTCAAGGACAGCCAGTTCTGTAGTTGCTTAGGAAAACACAGGTACTAATTCATGGACATGCAGGGCTCAGAGGATCCAGTTCAGCAGCTCCACACTCACCATGGCAACAGAGAGAATCCTCTAAAAGTACACTGGATCCATGTCAAGATAGTGTCCTCTCACTAAGTACACACAATCCAGAGATAGGAACACAGAGTCCAGGACCTGAAGCTCAGGGCTGGCTCTGGCCACTCACTGAATCTTAACAGCTCGTGCGATAACACTCTGTTCCATCCATGCAATAGACACATGACCCTTATGTCTTGCAGAAGTCACCATCAAATACACCCTGTCCCAATGACAACCACTGCCATGGGCATACACATTGTCTTGTTTGTAAGTCTTAAGTCTTTAGTCTTGCCAGGAATACCCTGATACTTACATGAGTATCCCCCTCTGCATGAGGCGTATCTTTATTGCAAATGATGCTCTGGAACCTCTGCAGGAGAGGCAGGAGGGGGGCGCTGGTTCCCTGAGCAGACCGCTCATTGTCAGTTTCCTGCGCTCCACTGTCCCACAGTTGAAGCAACAACAGGATGGCGGACAACATTTGGCTGGAAGGAGAAAGATTATTTATTCTCTACTTTATTTTTTTTTAAACTGTATTTTTCTTGTCTTTTCTTTTTTGGCACTGGGGATCAAACCCAGGACGTTGCACTTGCTAGGCAAGCGCTTTGCCACTGAGCTACATCCCAGCCCTATTCTCTACTTTAAAAAACAAAAAGCTTATCATAAGCCAGAAGCTGGTGGCTCATGCTTGTAATCCTAGCTGCTCAGGTGGCTGAGACGTGAGGATACCCGTCTGAAGCCAGCCCAAGTAGAAAAGTCCACGAGACTCTTATCTCTAAGTAACTACCAAAAAAGCTTCAAGTGGAGGATCCTGGTCTGTGTGGAAACACAGATGTTGCCCAGGACATCTGGCCTGGTACTGCTCACCTCAGTGTGCCTCTCTGAACAGCCAGCTCCAGCAGGATGGCCAAGGCCAAGTGCTGGTCCTGCAAGGGAACTCCTCCAGGCCCTTTGGTCCCTGGTGTTCCATGAACATCCCTGAAATGACAGCAACACAGGCCATGGAACAACAGAGGAAGTAAAATATGCAAAATCATACCAGCCTGCTGACTGCCTTCTCTCTCCCATGGAAAGGTGTATTTCTAATATCCCGAATCAAGTTTCTGAGACTTGCTACATAAATTTAAGATATTACAATTCAATTATGAAGCTCTGTATGTGTGTGTGTATTTTATGTGAATGTGTGCATGTTTAAACTGGGTCTGGAAATGTATCACAATGGTAGAGAACCAGCACGCAGAAGGTCCTGGGTTCAATTCCTAGCACTGCCCCTTACCCTTGCCCCCAAAAAAGTGTTACGGTAATAAAATATCTGTGATAAAAAAAAAAACTAAAAAGGGCCAGGCACCAGCAATTCTAGCTACTCAGGAAGCTGAGATATGAGGATTGCAGTTTGATGCCAGCCCAGTCAAGAAAATCCATGACTCTTACTTCCTATTAACTACCTAGAATCACTGGGCATGCACCTGTGCATGCATGCACACACATACACACACATACACACACACACACAACACACACACACACATACATACACACACACATACACACACAAAACTAAAAGGAAGAAATGTATAGGGTGATGGTTCAGTCCATTGTCATTTAGTACTAGGTATATGCATGTATAATATTTATATGTATGTCATGTGTGTATATACATGCCTTTGCCAGCAAAATTTTATATTGAATACTATTGTTTCTTTAAATTTAAAAGCAGTACCAAACTGGGCATGAGTGGCTCACACTTATAAACTTAGTTACTCAGGAGATTGAGATCCAAGGAGCCAACTTTGCAGCCATCTCAAGCAGACAAATCCTCAAGTCTCTTATCCCTAATTAGTAACAAAATGCCAGAAATGGAGGTGTGGTTCAAATGGTAGTACTAGCCTTCGGCAAAAAGGCTAATCAAGAGCACGAGGCCCTGAGTTCAAGCTCTAGTACTGGTGTGTACACACACACACACACACACACACACACACACACAGTACCAAAATATACAAGGCCCTTAGTTCAAGCTCTAGTACTGGTGTACACGTATGTACACACACACACATACACACACACACACACACACATACACACACACACACACACACAGTACCAAAATACATAGCATCCAAAATAGTAGCTATTTGCTATCCTTGGTTTGGATCTTAAATGTCCCCAAAAAGCATATGTCTTGAAAGGTTCATCCCAAGCACATAGCTGTATTGGGAGATTGTGGAAACTTTAAGAGATAGGGCCTAATGGGAATAAGTTAGGTCATTGTACAGTGAGCCCTTGAAAGGGATATTGGGTCCTGGCCCCCTCTTCTTAGTCTTCATGCTTCCCAGCTGCCACAGGGAGGTGAACAAGTATCTGTCTTGTCACCTGCTCTCTCTATGATATGCTGGGCTGCCAGAAGCCCGAAGCAAAAAGGCCAAATGACAATGACCTACAAAACCATCAGCTTGAGCTTTTCTCCTTTGAAGTCCATTATCACGGGTATTCTGTCACAGCAACAGAAAGCTAACATAATAAAAAAGGAATACACTTTTTTTGGAGGTGGGTTTTGGGGACCAAACGTAGGGCCTGGGACATGCTAGGCAAGGCCCTGTCATTGACCACTAGTACTTCCAGTCCTGGTTTCAATGTTTTGCTTGAGTAGTTGTTTTCTCCTATGTTATAATTTTTCAAAATTTCAAACTCAGTGCCAATCATTCCCTCCACCCCCCAGAATGGTACTGAGAGTTACCCAAGAAGTGCTCACTTGTAAATGATGGATCACCAAACTGCTAACTATCAGGACGACCCACTAAACTACAAAACAGTTGACATTGTCCATCCCAATTCCAAGTGACGGCTTCCTGGGCCAAATCTGAATATTCTAAACCCAAGTCATCTGGAAAGCTGAGAACTGAGGTCTACCAGAGTCAGGACTATGCTGGAAACACAAGGAAAAACCGGAGAGCAATGAGAATGAGGCGTAAGCACAGTGGAATGGTTGTGCAGGAAGACAGATAGGAGAAGAGCACTCACCCCGTCACGACGGACCTGAGGAACCTGGTTGCTCTCTCCACCACCTCCAGCCACACTGAAGACACTGTGCTCTCATCAAAAAGCGAAGCTTCTGGGAGAGCGCGCAGGGCGTCCAGGGATTCTTGCAACAGCTCGCTGCAGAGGTCTGCATCCTCACCTGAGGACACATGCATGACCCCTCCTAAGGAACTCAACAGGCTGTCTGCCATCGGGCAATGCAGACAAGCACCGCTCTCCTCATTTTCCTAGTTAAGAGTTCTACCCTTCAAGTAAGAATGTGTAACACCTCTTCCATTTCTTCCTCAATAGACTGAAATCTAACAATACTGCCTCAAAAGTCCATTCACCAAAAGAGGATACACTTAGGGGAGAAACAAAGACACAATGCTTATGTGCCTCTTTATAGTTATATAAAATTATATATTTATCTATCTTGGAAAAACTCCAAAAAAAAAGTCAATTCTTTATCTGATGGCTTTTATATGAACAATGCAGATTGAGAATCCTTCATCTGAAAGCTTGAGAGTAGAAATGTTTGGGATTTGGGAGTATCTGCATTACATAATGAGACACCTCTGGGACTTTTTTTTTTGATTAGTTATGAGACTTGAACTGGGCATTGTCAAGGCTAGAGCACTCTACCAACTTTGAGCCACAGTGCCACTTCTAGTTTTTAAGTGGTTAACTGGAGATAAAGAGCATCATGGAGACTTTTCTGCCCAGGCCGGCTTCAAACTGCAATCTTAAGATCTCAGCCTCCTGCATAGCTAGGATTACAGGCATGAGCCACCTGAGCATGACTCTGAACACAAATTTTAGTTGTTTCACATATTCGTTAGAGTCTGGAGATATTTTATGCAATATTTTTAGTGTGCCTTCATTCTGACCGCAAACCATCACCTGACATTGGGTATGAATTTCTACCTGCATGTTAGTGGTCAAAGTTTCAAACTCTGGACCATGTGGATTTCGTATTTTCACATTAGGGAATGCTCAAACTATACTGCTTTGTTGTAGGAATAAACCGGTACTGAGGTATTCCATGGTGGTGGTTTATTGGAAAGGAATGGCCAAAAAGGATGGTAAATGCATCCCTTCTCCTTACAATGGGAACTGAATTCATAGCGTCAATACTGCCAGGCAAGAGATCTGCCTCTTGAGCCCTCAGTGCCACAATTTGGTTTTTTTTAGACACAGACCAAAAAAAGCAACCTCTTCTTTTACAAATGAAGGCAGTGAGGTGCTGGGATATGGCATATGGGATCACACCACTGACCCATGGTGGCAGAAACTATGGAGCCCAAACCTCCCCACAGATCAGGCAAACAGATGGACAAGCTATACACACATACCTGACCGCCAGGCCCTGCGTAAGAAGGCAAAGGCAAAGGAGAGCGCTGCTCGGGATCCAACTCTGGCAAGCCCTTCCACCCCTCTGCCAGTGGGCCGAGAACTGCAGATAACACATACGGATGGGAGAAGCAGTCAATGAGAGGAACAGGAAAGCACTAAAATAAGATAAATAATACTTGAAGGATTTGGACCACAATGTGACTAATGGTCTTTTTAAAATTTAATATCAATTTATTCTTAACACATGCAACATAGAGCATAAAGATCTCATACTTAATACATGATATTCATTAACTCAAAAGGGGTGGGTTTCTATCAAGTTTTATCTAGACTATGGAAATACATTATATACATTTTATCACTGGGAATAAAAATCCCAACTGTGTTTCTTCACGAGGAACTTCAACAGGACAGACTATTCTCATGCCTCCATTCAAAACAAAACAAAACAAAAACACTTAAAAAAATAACAGTGATAAAATCTAAACAGGATAAAATAAAATCTAAATACAGGATAAAATCCTGTATTCAATTTTTCAAGATCAGGACTCAGTAACTTTTTGTACAAGCTAGACTCAAACTACAATATTATCTCTATCTCTCAAACAGGTAGGACTACAGGCATGTACCATTACACCTGGAAAGAGCCTGATTTTGTGTGTGTGTGTGTGTGTGTGTGAGTATGTGTGTGTGTGTGCGTGCATGCATGCGTGCGTGTGTGTGTGTCGTATACTCAGGCCTCATGTTGCTCCGCTGGTGTTCAAATCACATAAGCCACTCCTTGAGCCCAACAGCCTGAATCTTATAGGGAACCACCAACAGTATTCTTCCCTCATTTTATTATTACCTCTTTTTGTCCACAGGAGGCAGAGAAATGTTGCTGCTTTTCCACTTAACTTTAACATTCTCTTGAAAAACAGTTCTATTCAAGGCAATGAAGTAGCGTTCCAGGATCACCAGCCTCTGCTTGAGTCTCAGGGCTGACAGGGTAGTAGTGGCTGACTGGATAGCCAGGGCTTGCTGCTCTTTAACCAGCACAGAAAGACATTCCTTCAGTTCATTCACATCTAGGAAACAAAATAAGAACCTGTCAATTCCTTGTGCATGCTCTGTTGTAATGCTCAGACAATGATAGCAGGAAAGACCCAGGTGCATAATATCTGCTCCCAGTTTTAAACATCTTGCTAAGCCAGCATCAGAAATTAGACTGTATATACAATTTGTGAGTGAGGAAATTGAGGCAGAGAGGGGTTATGTAAACACACAGAGGAGTACAGCATATGACAAAGACCACTCAGCCTCCCTGGCAAGATGCCACTCTGTAAACATATACAAACCTATAGGACTGTGGGTATAGCTAAGAAGTATAGAGCTTGTTAACATACATGAAGCCCTGGGTTCAATCCCACCTTTAAAAAAATAAGTAAACAAACACACACAAAAATGATAAAGTCTACATTCTTAGCAGGGTATTTTCAAGACAGAGAGAAAATCTTAGCCAACACTATTATGATCTAAATTAAAAATGTAAACAAGTTGGACATTGATGGCTTGAGCCTATAATCCTAGCTGCTCAGGAGAGGCTGAGATTTGAGGATCTCAGATCTGATTCGAAAACTCTTATCTCTAATTAACCAGCAAAAACACAGACATGAAAGTGTAGTTCAAGTGGCAGAATGTCAACCTTGAGTGAAAAAGCTAAGCAAGAGTACAAGACCCTGAATTCAAGCCCGAGTACTGTCACACGTGTGTGCGTCTGTGCACGTGTGCACGTAAACACACACACATATAAATGCATGCACTTAATAACAAGGCTTTAGAATTCATGAAGCCAAGACTGCAGAACTTCCCTTGCTTTACCTGTACCGTCTAATTTTTTGTATCTTACTACCAGTACTACTTTTTTTTTTTTGCTGGTCCTAGGGCTTGAACTCAGAGCCTAGTAGCTATTCCTGAGCTTTTTTTTACTCAAGGCTAGCACTGTTTCACACTTTGTGCCACAGCTCCACTTCCAGATTTTCTGGTGCTTCCCTGGAGATAAAAGTCTCACAGACTTGCTTGCCTGGGCTAACTTCCAATCATGATCTTCAGATTTCAGGCTCCTGAATCGCACTGGGATTACAGGCATGAGCTCCTGGCACCTAGTCAACATTATTTACTTTGTTACTTACTAAAAGTAGCAAATAAGTAACAAAGGGTTGTGGAGAGTTCTCATTCCTGTTAGTCCAATCTTGTCTGTCAGTTGAACTTCTCTCCCAATAAGGTAAATAGCAAGTGAGGAGAAAATTTCAAGCCAGTACACTTAAACAATACTATCATCTAATTTGACCTCATTTAAGATTCATAGAAAAGGGCTAAGATTGAAGAACACTTAACTATAGCAGGCTCATCAAGACCCTGATTCAAACAAGGAAAAAAAAAAACCTCTTGAAGATTCACAGAATAGTAAAATACAATCAGACAGATTGCAAATCTCAAAATTTTTTACACACAGAATATGCCTTCTGACTCCAACTAAACTAAAAATCATTTTGACAAGAGGTATTTAGAATCTAATATTTGGAAGTTAAACTAACACACTTTCAAATAATAAATAAGTTGAAAAAATTATGAGACACATAGAAAATGATTCTAAGACTGTTTAGAGAATAATGGGCATGTAAATCATATAAAAATACATTGCAATTATATGAAGAATACATAACGAATGGGGCAAGAGGAAAGAAAAAGCAAGAGAGAGGGTTATGTGGCTAAAATTCAAATATCATGTCAAATGCCATGGTGAAATGCTTTGATACAATTAGTTTACACTTTAGGGGAAAAAAATGATAAGAAAATAAAGCAGGCTCTGCTAACAAGCCTGAGTATTAGATAGAGAAGGGAGGGTAAATAGTGAGGGTAGATAAAAATGAATATGATTGAAATCATTGATTTGTGCATATAAAAAACAGAACAACCTGCTGCAACTGTTTTAGAAGGGAGGTGGGGATAAGGGAGAATGACAGAAAGAGCAAGCTTGATCAGGACACAATGTGTGCATGAATGGAAATGTCATGGAGAACCTCCCCAAGAAAAACTAATGTATGAGAATAAAAATAAGTCTTGGTCTTTGGATTGATTGTGTGTGTGTGTGTGTGTGTGTGTGTGTGTGTGTGTGTGTGTGTACTGGTCCTGGGTCTGAACTCAGGGCCTGGGCACTGTCCCTGTGTGTGTGTGTGTGTGCCTGGGCACTGTCCCTGAGTGTGTGGGGGGGGGCACTGTCCGTGTGTGTGTGTGTGTGTGTGTGTGTGTGTGTGTGTACTGGTCCTGGGTCTGAACTCAGGGCCTGGGCACTGTCCCTGAGTTTTTGTTGCTCAAGGCTAGCATGCTACCACTAGCACAGCTCCACTTCCAGCTTTTTGCCAGTTAATTGGAAATGAGTCTCAACAGACTTTTCTGCCTGAAATGGCTTTCAACTATGATCCTCAGAGACCTCAACCTCCTAAGTAGCTGGGATTATAGGTGTGAACCACTGGTACCTGGCTCAAAAACTTTGGAAATGAAAAAATATTTCCTAGTTTATGGGATGTGAATACTTCTAGGGATGAGATTTTTGGCTATGTATATTTGTATTAAAAAAGAGAAAAGATTTAAAATCATTCATCTAAACTTCTAACTTAAGAAGAAGAGTTAGAAGAAACAGAATCCAATGCAAACAGAAACAAAGAATAAAGATTAAAGCAAAATCAATGAGAAAAAAACCCCAGAAGAATAGAAAAGATGAAATCAACTGTCTCTGAAAATAGTCTGGCAATTTCTAGCAAGACAGATGAAAATAAAAATTTTTAAAACAATCAAGTCACATTTCAACTAATTTTTAGATTACACTAATACATGCTAGATAACAGCATAAACACTTGGCCTGACCCACACAGCTCATCTCAAGACACAAGACAGTCTTACAAGGTAAGTAACATTACTAAAATTACACATACACATATTTATATGTATGTTCATGCAAACAAAGAAAACTGATATTAGCAGGTAAACCCTCAGGAGAAAATTGCAGTTGGTATGGCCAGGGAAATTTTCCATTTTATAATCTACAAATTTGTACAAGAAAACTTCATTCATTCCTTGTTGATTAAAAAAAAAATTGGGTTTGCAGAGAAATGAACTTAGAACAAATCATGTTAAGTAAGCCTAGCTCAGAGAGATAAATGGCACATGTTTTCTCTCATATGTAGAAGCTAGATACAAGGGGATAAATATTGCATGATTCCTAGAACAGTTAAATGCACAGTCACCAAAGTGTAACAGTGGTAGCATTGGTGGCAGTTTGGTTATGATGAAGAGTTCTAGAAACAAATGTGATGATGTTGTCCAATCATAGTGTAAATGTACTCATGCAAATGAACTATACACTTAAAATGTTGCAATGCAAGTCTTGTCATATATATACACACACATATATATGTATATATATATTTCACCACAATACAAAAAAGGTTAATTTCAGAAAATTCCATTAGCAAACCAAGAAGTTCATCTATGTTGGTCAAAACTAGTAGCAGATCAAGACGCAAGGTTAGAAAACCTAAGAGGGCTGCCATACCTGGTTGCTTGCCCCATACCCAGCTCTCCAGGATTGATTTGGCCCTAAATGTAGGTGCAGGGGTTTCTTCGTCATCTTTTTTCTCTTTGTCATTTAGATCTTCTTTCTTGGTTCCACTTTGGGTTTCAACACCATCATCTGGAAAATTAAAAATGTAATTGCTTTTCTCAAAACAAAAAGTCATTTCGTAGTCTCTTTGCAAATGTTTCTCCCAAAGTTAAACATACATCATTAACTAAATAATTTGAAAAACAGGAATTATAACTTTAACAGGTTTAGGATGACCTCTTTAGTAATAAATGACTATACAATTTTATTAAAAGGGACAATAAAAGATGGCCAGGGTGGTACATGCCAGTAATCCCAGCTAAATGGGAAGTGTAAGTAGAAGGATCAAGATAGGAAGCTGGAGCTGGATACCAGTGGCCCATGCCTGTAATCCTAGCTACTCAGGAGGCTGAGATCTGAGGATCTCAGTTCAAAGCCAGCCTGGGCAGGAAAGTCTTATCTACAATTAACAGCCAGAAAACTGGAAGTGGTGCTGTGGCTCCAGTGGTAGAGTGCTTGCCTTGAGCTGAAGAGCTGAGGGACAGCACCCAGGCCCAGAGTTCAAGCCCTACTCCCAAAACAAAACAAAATAAACAACAACAAAAAAGAAGATAGAAGCTGACCCAAGGCAAAAACTAAAGAGGAAAGAGGGTGGGTAGGTGGGGATATTGCTGGCTTAAGTATTAGAGCACCTACTCTGAGTTCAATACTGCCAGAGGAAAGGGAGACAAAGAAACTAATATCACTCAAATCCAAAAAATATCTTACACAATATTTCATCCATTGTTTACTAGACTTCCCAACTAAGAAAGTTGGCATTTAGTAATGTGCTTACTTGAATTTCACCATAGTTGCTTTACTCTAGTTGTTCCCAATTGCTCTATACAAGGAAGGAACTGATTCAAAACTCACTTGTAACTGTACAATCCCTCCTCCAATGATAACTGAGGATCACAGCCATGCACTGAACTTAATTCAAAAAGAGGTGAGAACATGACCTCAGACCATGAGCGATGCTCAGTTAATAACAATTGCCATGAAATTCCCTTATAACCAGGACAGAGGAGAAAGAAGCACCTCAACTCTGAAGTATAAACAAGTCCTGGCATAAAATGTTCTTACTAAAATATTCATATGAATAGCATAAATACAAATATAAATCTAGGCTGGAGGGGAGATAATAAATACTTAGCACGAACGGCCCTTGGGTTCAATCCCTAGCAGCCTAAAGGAAACCTATATATTTTATATTATGCAATTCTATCTATATACTTCACATACATCAGTGAAAAGGTACTGAACAGTTTGCTATACAGTAGTCCCCATGGAAGACAGGTTCCAAGACCTCCTGTTGAGTTCCAAGACCCATGCTTGAAACTACATTTCTAAACCCTATACATACTGCTTTTTCCCCCCATACATACATGCATACTATGGGAAAGTTTAATTTCTAAATTAAGCACATTGAGAGATTAACAACAGCTAAAAATAGGATAGACTAATTACTATACTTTGGTAAGTTATATGCAAGTGGTCTCTCCTCCCTGTCTCTCACACTATCTTACACTTATTCTCTCCTCCTTGTGATGCTATATGACAAGGAGGAAGTTGGGAGAATGACACAGGAACTGTGTGGTATTGTTGGGTTACTACATCTGGGTTACTTGAACTCAGTGCCAAATACCAACAGCTGACCTGACAACCAGCTAACATGACAGCTACTAACTACCTCCTGGTAGATTGCACTACACATCCAAGGTAGGACTATGCGCGATTTCATTCCACTACTCAGAGCAGCACAATTTAAAATTTGCAAATGGCTTATTTCTGGAATTTTCCAGTTCATATTTTCAGATGGAGATTGACAATATACAACTAAAACCTCAGAAAGGGAAAGCATAGGGACTACCACAATGACTCACAAAACCTAGGGAAACACTTTGCTCACTGTGATCAGTTTACTATAAAAGGTATCATATTAGCACAAATGAAGAGAAAAGGCAGATAAGACAAGGGTGGAAGGGTCTGGATCATAAGAGCCACAGATACGTGGAGCTGAAGTCCCTCCCCTCCTCCCCCACTTTCATTAGGGTATGAAAAACCCATCGCTACAGAGATTCCAAGTGTTTCAGAATCTCTTCCGTTGGGAAAGGGACTGAAACCAAATACTAAAACAAGAAGTTCCTATCATCCATCATCAGGAACTGAGGACTGTTCCAGGAGACCTGTGTCAGAAACTGGAGACAGAGACCAAATATGACAGACATCACAATACTGAAGCCAATGAGACAAATATATGTGCAAGGGATTCCTGCTGAGTGTGATGGCTCAAGGCTGTAATCTCAGAGATGGAAAGGGCCTCAGCTGCACGCCAGACCAGACAGAAAGTTTTCAGAACTCTTATCTCAACCAATATAGCTGTATGTGTGTGGCATGCACCTGTTATCCCAACTACTTGGGAAGCATAAATGGGAGGCTCTCTCAGTTCAGGCCCATTTAGGGATAAACAAGAGAACTTGGCTAAAAAAACAACTAAAGCAAAAAAGATGGGGTTTATACTCTAGTACCACCAAAAAAAAAAAAATGGAACGGAGGGCTGGGAAGGCGGCTCAATGGTAGAGTGCTTGCTTGCCTTGCATGCATGAGGCCCTGGGTTGGTTTCCTCAGTATCATATAAGAAGAAAAAGCTGGAAGTGGTGCTGTGAGCTCAAGTGGTAGAGCACTAGCCTTGAGCTGAAGAGCTGAAGGACAGTGCCCAGGCCCAGAGTTCAGGCCCTATGACCGACCAAAAAAAAAAAAAAAAAGGGAAGGGAGAAGGGAAAGGGGAAGGAAGAGGGAAAAGAAGGGGGAAGGAAGGGAGAAGGGAAAGGAAGGGAAGGGAAAAGGAAAGGAAAGGCCAAATGTCTAATGCTAAGAAGACACTCTCAAGTTCATGTTTAGGAAAATAAGAATTAAAACAATGCCATATTAAATGGACAAATATTAGAAAGTTAGAGTGTAAGCTCTAAAATGTTTTTGTTGTTATTGTTTCTTGAGGGGAGGGGAGTTGTTCATTTCATTTTTCTTGTCTGGTTTTGTTCACTGATATATCCCAAATGCCTAACACAAAACAGGTAATACCATTCCAGATCTTTAAATAATCAAGTAAGAAATTATAGAAACGATGTGGGCTAGAGGCACATCCATTCGGGCAATGTTACAGAAGACAGACCCTTGAAGCTAGACAATGAGGCAAAGTTGAACTGAGGTACAGGGAAGTTCCCTGAGTCCCCAGCCCCTCACATTTATTGCACATGCACACACCACAGACCTTTCCCAGAGGCCAAGGAGACACCTGCTATCACAGAAACCAGGCAATAGCCTAACTAATTTTGGATCCAACAATGCTGTATAAATTCACCTTGACAATACTACAACTTTCTTGAGTCATAATGAACAAAACTGCCACAGAATAACCCTTGTTGAGGTTTTCCTGCATACTTTCTCATTTTCAGCCAACTATAAGAGACAAACACATTAAAGTTGCATGGAAAACTTTATAATCAGATTGTAGCTTCAGGGTTATTATCAAATATGACTACCTGATCATAAACCAGGTACATTAGAGCCAGGATGAAGTCACTGGTGTACTGCATTTACAGCCCTGTTTCTGACTTAAATTATGATATCCACCTGCTCAGACTGTGTCTCAGACTGAAGAACAGGAGTGCATAGAATTCAATGGCTTGGGACACAGGCGAGATACACTTACTGTCTTCCAAGAAGACAAAATCCAGTCAGAACCTGTAAGGTCTAGGTGTTTCACTTTTGGAATATCTCTCCTTTTACCCATATCCAACAAGAATTTTTAATTTCTATTTAAAATAAATCTTGTAGGCTGGAAGTATTACACAGTATAGACTGCTTGCTAATCATGTGGGAAGTCCTAGATACAAATATCCAAAGAAACTTTGAACTTCTGTGTATATGTTCCTACATCCAGAATTTGTATTTTAAAAAACCCCAAAACTAATAATAACACCTGATGGGTGGTGGAGAACAGATCTGGGAAGGAACTAACCCTTTATTGAAAACTATAAAACTTGGAAATTTTATTACCTTGAATGCAATACAAATTAGTTAATGAGTTAAAAATTTTTAAGAGACCTAACACTGAATTAAAAATAGCTGCATGAGCCTGGCATGGTGGTACATACCTACAGTCTCAGCTACACAGGAAGCAGAAGCAGGAGGAACACTTAAACTTAGGAGTTCAAGTCAACCTGCTGGAAAAGTCCATGAGACTCTTATCTCCAATTAACCAGCAAAGAGCTGGAAGTAAAAAGTGTAACTCAAGTGGTAGAGTGCTAGTCTTAAGCAAAAAAGCTAGGCAAGAGCTGGGAGTGGAAGTTCATGACTGTAATACTCTAGAGGCAGATATAGGAAGAGGATAGACTGGGCAAAGTTTGCAAGAAGTCAAGTGCAGTAGGTAACCCTTGTAAGTCGAGCTACTTGGGAGATAAGAGAACAAGATGATCCTAGTTCAGAGCCAGCATATAATCTAGATATGATGACTCACACCTATAACCCCATATATGAAGGAAATACAGGTAGGAGAATCATAGTTCAAGACCAACCCAGGTAAAAAGGGTGGAGTTATGGCTCAAGTGATAAGCATCCATCCCTTTGGTCCTAACAGCGTGGAATATAACAACATATGCATTTGCATGTCTTGTGTGTTGCTTTGAGGACAGCTGAATTTTCTTAATTCCCTAGTTTTACTCATCAGGCAAATTGATAGAACTTCCACATCATGGTTAAGATTGTGAAAAATGTAAGATTACATATTCCCCCTGAATGAATTATAAAATTCTAACCATCTTTTTTTATATCGCCAAAGATCATGCTGTTATTCTGTAGTCTATCCACTTAAAAGCCATGTTCTAGAACTTTGTTAGCCTCAAGACATTGGTGCACTATTAAATGGAGTCATTAGCTAATCTGTGGATTCTTGAGCAAGAATACAAACACACCTGCCACCAGGCACACTGATGAACACACGCACATACACACGCACACACACACACACACACACACACACACACACACAC